GTTTTTGAAATAGAATTCGTAGCAGGTGCTGTAGATATTGACTGTAAATCTGAAAGTACTACGTTATTTTCGTTACTTAAACATGTGACTGGGCTGAAAGTTAAATTATGTAAGTCAAAAAGTGTTGCTGATACTCGTTGAGGAGATGGAGGCGAATTAAAAGATATTAGATTTTCTGTTACTGGGTTATCATTAACAATCAACGGTTGTTGAAGTGAAACATGCAGAGTAGATGGTGATAAATCAAGAAGGCATTGAGAAGTAGATTGAGAGCTGCTAGCATTTAGAGGACTGGGTAAACATGTTACATTTGAACTAAGAGATTCTTGATAATCAATATTATCAATTATATTATCAATTGTCTTAGATGTACTAACAGAAATTTCTTTATCAACATCATTATCCTGAATACTTTCGATCGGTGAAGGTAAATGTTCTTCATCAACAATACCTTGATCTCTTACAACTTTCCAAAATTCGGAATCACCTCGAGGGTGTTGACCAAACATGATTTCGTAGGGTGTGGCTTTAGTAGTGTCAGATGTTCTTGTATTGATGCCGTAAACTACCGACAATAAACCTTCTGACCAATGTGTTGTGTTATTTGTTTGTAACCACTTTCCTAACGATAAACTTAAGACGCCGTTCGCCCTTTCTATGCATCCTTGCGATTGTGGATGACGTGGACGACCACGAATAACGCACAAATTAGGAAAAACTGTTTTTAGTTCTAAAATAACATTAGCAACGAATTCTGATCCATTATCTGAATGTAATAAACGTGGGGGACCAAAAGTAAAAAATAACTGACGAAGTTTTACAACTACTTCTTTGGCTGATTTGTTTTCTAATGGATAAGAAAATAAATTCGAGTCGGTTCGAACTAGGTCAACTGGACCTGTTTGAGTTTACTGTGGAAACAAAAATGAATTCGAAGCCTACAAGGAATCTGATGGCTCTACATGAAAGTACATATATATGATGTCTGTAATGAATTCTGCATCAGACTGTGAATGGTTTCGTATTAGCATAGGAGAAAAACAAAAATTTTAATTATGACTCATTGTTTTTAACGCGTTCGTCCGCGGTAATCTCATAATTTCTTTAAAATGTGTTAGTGCATGTTCGATACATTCCAAATATTTGTGATTAATTTCAGCCAGTTTGCATTTTAATCAATTCATATTGAAACCTCGATCGATTTTGACTGAATTATGAATATTTCGAGTCAAGAACAGAGAGTCACATCCGAACAAAGTGAAAAATACTGTGATATACCAAAAATAAAAACATTTATTACATTAGCAAAAGTTGTGAATACTCCAGTTACAGATGATCAAAAAGCAGTCGTCGCCATAGCTGAAGACGAAATGAAGTTTTCAAATGGGAGTTTTGTTCAGACACAACTAGTGTCACATCCTAGAACATTATCGATATCAGTTGTCTTTTTGAATAAAATAACTTGTGCCAAAAATAAAGTTTTGAAGAAGTTGATGAATAATAGTAACTCTGGTGGTACTCATTGCAGCTCAGTTTTAGATTCATTTCAAGGATTCCATTTCAGTATAAAATAGGTTATTTTTATAGAGGATTGATTGCTCTACAAACTGCGCGAAAACTGTTCTAGTATAATACGGTATGGCTGTGTGATAGCTGTTTTAAAGATAAAAGCCAAGTTCTTGAATATGACTTAAATTTTTTCATTTGAGATAAACACTGTAGCTGACAGTGGTGTACAGAAGCTCCCTGGTCCATCTTTGGCAAATCACAGGAAAAACTTATGATCGATAAATATTAACCGGTTTTTGTTCATTCTATATATCTTCACCTCTACTGGATATAATAAGAGAGAATCAGTATAGATCCGCAGTACAGTGATTTAGTGCAAAGAAAGTGAATTTTCTCATAGTCAGTCCGAATTCGACACGGATCCTTTTGGCTTTTTCAAAATCTTTTTTCTACAAAAATCGAAGGAGTTGATTGAGATAAAATATGGTGTACCACTAAACGGACCATGGGCTACAAGATTCCGCAGAATTCGCGTTGGCAACCCTCGGAGAAAAAGAGCGCCAAATTCTGATCTGAAAATTATTGATAAGATCCTGACACTAAGAGTTCTACATTATTGTATGACAGAATTAATAACAGAAATGAATAATGACACTCATAGTATTGTATTAATCAGCTTTCATAGCCACTTTAGATAATGCTAAGAACGCTTACAGCAAGTCAGACTAGTTGTTTTATAAGATTGACATATGTGAATATGTTTGAAAAAATTCATATACGTAGAACTATAATAGTTCATTTTTACTTTAAGTTAATAAAAGAAATTGAAGAAACATCATTTACATTCAATTTTAATGCGTGAAAATAATTTTGATCATAAATCGGCTTGATTCACAAAAACTATCGCTCAAACTAGCAACTAAATCGAATAATAACTTTTACATTTGATAATCGAGATTCTATGCCATCGATCAATCAAATCCTTTGATATATTTCTCTACTGAGATAAAAAAGAAACCATGTGTTGCCATTTATGTTATCGTTTATTTTATTCAAGAAAAGAATAATCGAAAATTTGCAATATATCACAAATATCTGACAAAGAAACCTCTCAATTACTATTGTTCAAAAATAAGACGACAAACTAAATTACACTGTACTATACATAAGACAATAAATGACTAGAAACATAATTGAATGTTTAAAAATGGAAATATTATTGTATAATATTGATTAATATTTGTAGAATGAAAATAATATCTTTAACAAAGAATTTAATAATGATATTGTTTTCGAAAAAACGCTTTCATCAAACCAATCAATAAACTCTGAAAAAGGAAACAAATAAACATAGGTACTTTTAATACAGTGATTCTAACATAATTAACTTACTCATTTTTTAGCATTCCATGCTAAAAAGGCTCCAATTGTTCCACTCAAAAGACTGGCACAATATTAATGGCCATTTGCTTCCACCACGAATAAACGCGCGGTTGGGAATGAATGAATGAATGAATGAATTATTATTCACGAAAAGTGAGAGTCATCAAAGGTCACCGACCTATAAAACAATGACTCGAGCCGAACAACAACAAAAGAATCTATAAATAGAAAAAAAGAATAAATAAATAAATAAAAGGTAAAAACTAGTGTAGTGTACGAAAACAGATAGTAAAGAAGAATAAAAAAGAAACAAAATAAAATAAAATAAAGTAAATAAAATAAGAGTAACAGCACTAGCTTTGTTTATA